CCAATTTCCTTGTTGGTATCGGTACGCATACAACGTTGATGCCGGAACGCATACAACGACAGATCTCTATTCACATACACGGCGACTAATCACAATCAACCCGTATAGAAATGATATCATCGAGGGCGAATGACGAATCATTGGTACTCGACTCTTATCTGCCGTAACGTACTTTCGTTGCATTTGTACGGATTTACACCCTAGTCGCGCCTAAAGAAGTTTTACTTCAAAAATCTTTTTTATTTCTATGCTAATTATTTCTTATTTATCATTGAATTATGCAACTTTGTAGAATATATCGATACGCCGGCGTCTTGTGGTCTGCCTTCAAATAACCCGCCGTCGGCCCTGCAGGTGAGAAAGTAATTTATACTTGAAAGTAATAGATACACTTGGCACACCTTTAATATTTATATTCAAATTATAACTATTTGATGCATATTAGTGGTCGTATTGTCTGAATAATAGCCATCATGGTGTATTTGATGTGTTTATTCAATGGATACTGATTCATGATATGAATCGGTTTTATAATAAAATTATGTATTTGCAATGTGGAATATTGCAACACTAAATTGTTTGTTCATGAAATGGTGTTGATACAGGAGTTTGATTGTTTTTATACATTTTTTATGCTATATTACACTTATAATTAAAATTCTCTTGATGATTCTATAAGATTTTTCATTATAATTTAACTCTATTTACATAGCATGTCTTTACAAGAACCATGATGTCTTTCTTAGTTATAAACTTAATTTTTTTTCGTATTAAAAGAGTTGACTTTAGAATTTTCATAAAATATAATATGGATATTTTATCAAAATAAAAGTTAGAATAAGATAAATTTCAAGACCTATAGTTAATCATTAAAGTAATAAGAATCTATTCATATCAATAGTAGATACCAATCAATATTCAATATATAGAGAGCAATCATTCAATTTTTTAAAAAATTGATAAACAGTTTTTATTCGTCTTTTGTAGATATAAAATTAAAAAAAAAGAGTGGAAGAACTTAATCTATTTAAATACTATTTGAACAGAGATTTGAGTAATTACTATTATTATCAACCATTATACACATTTATATAATGATGAAATATAAATTATATATTTATAATAGCATTAAAAATATGTATAATATTAATGTAATTAAAGTCATACTTCAAATACGACATGATCGGTTTGTCATTGTAATTAGCAGTTAGAAATGAATCTATTTATATTAAGATTATTACATTTATTAACAAAAATCAGGATAAATATGAATAAAATATTTGGTATATCCGACATCAAATAATTACTATGTTAAATCCGCCTTATATTTGAGCATTTTTATATACAGTATGGTAGGGCACAATGGTCCAATTTGACTTTGATTTTTGTAAAAAGCCAAACCAATTATATCATAACAAATAACGAATATCAAACAAACTATCTGACTAGATTCGGTAAAACTTGCAGCTAATTCATCATTGTAGAAATGTGTTTTAAAAAAAAATTATAACCTGGTCCTTTTTACCCCAAAGCCAGTATAAAATGGGACGGCTAGAGGGTAAACTGGTTCAAAGTCTTATTTACAATTTTGAAGGTACTGTATGAAATAATAACTACAATATTCAATCAAAGCAATATTAAAATTTCATGGGCATATTTTTCACAAAGATGGCAATGTATATAACCTTGATCTGGTATTTCATCAAAAATATTCATCAATAGAGTAGGCGGTTATACATATTTTTCTCTCAACTTTCAAATATTCTTGTTAATTTTTTTTTAACTTTACTTGTTTTTTAGATACTAGTGGTAGCCTTTCTTACCCACGGACCTTTAACCCCTCTCTACCCTAGCCCTAAAAAATAAATATTTTTTCAGGGTTAGAATTCAAAAAATCAATCTTTTGTATGATGAATACATACTTGCCAAAGAAAATTATAAATCAACCAAAGTATAAACAATTTATTACCACATGGATAAATATAATTGAAGAGGTCACCTATAATTGCGGAGATAAATATAACTATCATTCAATTAAAAAACTCGTTTGAACCTTCGCAACTAATTATTCCATCACTATTTTTACCGCTATTTACAATACTAATTTGCGAAAACAATATGCTAATTATTTGTAATATTGTTTCATATAATATGGTATGATATAATTGAGATATAGACATGCTTTATCACCATGGGCGAATTATCCATCGGTATGTGGTATTAGCATAAGGAATTGGCAAATCGCTTTCACTGCGAATGCAAGTTGCACCTCTAACAACAATATAGTGCATATGGTAAAAGACTTTGGTTTTAGTTGAGAAGCTGGGAGAATTAAATAATTCTACAAACGAGAATTAAATAATTCTATACACGAGAATTAAATCATTCTATTTATTGCCCAACTTTGTCTCCTCGGAAATTAGATCATACACAGTCGAGGAGAATTCACACAATTCTTTGATGGTGAGATGCAGTTTGAGGAGGTGGAAAAATGTAATTTTGTCCATAATTTATATTGTTTTCTGATGTTATGTAATACAGTAAAATATGATCAGTTTTTCATGTTTTTGATTAACATATAAATTACAATCAAGTCCATAGAAAGACAATGAGTAATTGATTTGGCATTTTCTAGAAGGAAAACCCAAAGGTTTGCCTTGTATTTTCGTACAATTTTTTTATTCATGACTGAATTAATGATCTGATGCAATTTATTTGTCTATTTATTTGGGCTCGCATTTCGTCGACAACATATAAAAATTATAGAGATTCAAAAAATACAAAAGTAAGTCATTAGGCACTCATGGATGAGCCAACTTTTGGGTTGCACATCCAATCGAAACCATATAAATAATATCAAGACAATTACTAAATGTCCAGATATAGGCAGATTGTAAATATTAAATGAAAATATTTAGATATGGACAGATTGTAACTAATAAATAAAAATATTTAAATATGAACAGATTATAGATTAGTATTATAGTTATTAATAAAAAAAATATTTAGGCCCACATTACATATGTGAGTAGCCATATTTATTAATGAAATTGAGTATGAAAATTTTTAGAACTGTTGATAATAAAACATCTTGGTCAGCTTTTATTGCGTTTTATATATTTTGCATTGTTTTGTTTATATGTATATATATATATATATATATATATATATATATATATATATTGTTTGTATTTATTTTTAGTTTAATATTTCAAAATAAACATATAAATTAATTTTAAAAACTTGGCTGTATACACGTGTTTTATTGTTTATTTGGTTTTGCTTTAATTGCTCGTGTTTGCACTGAAGAAGACCTGAATGGGAACTCAAAATGTATACAAAATTTATTAAAAATTATTAAACATAACTTAGTTTTTTCAATATTTTAGATTAGATATTGTGAGAGAATATTGTAGAGAGTGTATTTAGAGACAATAAACGAGTGATTGGAGACGAACGAAATTAACAGTTATAAATTTATTATAAATTTTGTATATTCCAATATTATTGCTGGACATCAAAGTTTGCAAAATTCTTGAAAAAAAAATCCTTTATTATTTAGCTTTCAATACCACATTTTCTTCGATTTTTAAGGATTTTACATTTTCAAATAATATGGTTCATTGTGGTTGGTTCTTTACCACACTTGCACGATCAATTTTGTATTATTCCTAGTTTTCATTCGCACCTATTTGAAAATCTGTCTAAAAAAATAGAGACCTATATTTATATTGTAGGGCCCAAGATCAAGGAAAGCTGTGGACTGTTGACCAAAATTAGAATAGAACACTTGTTATTTATTTTTTATTTTTTATTTTCTATACTGTAACTAACTCAATAAGATCAAGGATTACTATGGTAGTCTATTTTTAATAGAATTTATTTTACCCATCAACTCTTTATCTAAATCTTAGGTTAAGCCTAGGTCGTTAATATTATTATTAGTAATGAATTTATATTAAAATTTGTATATTTCAATACACTAGACATCAAAGTCTTCAAAATTATTGAGAAATTTTATTCTATATCCGTAGCATTCTATACCATATTTTCCTTTGATTTTCAATAGACTAATATTTATATTGTAGAGTCAAGGAAAGCTATGGACTGTTGACCAAAATTAGAATAAAACACTTGTTAATTGCTTTTTTGTTTTCTATACTGCAACTTACTCAATAAAATCATGGATTACTATGGTAGTCTATTTTTAATATAATTTATTTTACCTATCAACTCTTTATCTAAATGCTGGGTTAAGCCTAGGTCGTCGCCATCTACTCAACCCACCTTAGAGAACAATGGCACAATATAAAGAGGTTACTCTGGGCGCGTCTTTCGACGGTATTTAGAGCCGGAAAAACTCTCAAGAATTTGTTCTACAGACCCAAAGATGGAAGAGATGAAGTCTATGCAACGATGCATCATCAGTGTCTACTTATAAGTACATCATGGAAATCACCAATATCAATTACTACACCCAAATTGATATATTGATAAAACTGGTTCCTTTAGAGGTAAATTTACCTTAATGAAGCCTGTGATGAAAGACTTGGTAATTATTTTGGGTCTAGGGTTATGCTTCTCTTATCTCTGACAATGAGTATTAAATTTATGACTTACATTGAATCATCTTTGCAATGAGAATATTCAATAAATGAAATCAAGGTGTTCACTTGATCCCAAATCCGAAAGGTTTTATGACTAATGAAGTCATCGGCTTATGTGGCTATTATTATATTATGATTGTCTGGATATTAAGAAATGCACATTGTATATTATTGTAAGAAACCACGTAGGTGCAACCAACAAATGGCATACAGAAGCATTCGACTGAGACTGTTCACCTTATTATTTTCAAGGCGACCACCGACGACTTTTTGTTTGACAATGTGGGGGATATGAAATGAATTAATCTTATTTAATCTAGATATATGATTAAACAGGGTTTATTAATACAGAATGCATTATACATTTTACTAGTTTAAGTACTAAAATCCTACCTTTTACAATGTTTCACACCAAAGTGACACCATATGTATGTTTTCTTCCTGGATTTCGGCTCTCAAATTCTCCTGCAAGCAAAAAAAAAAAAAATATTATTATGGTATCATTTCGCATAATAAAATATATTTATAATAAAATATGTATATATGTAATTTTTGCCTCAGAATGTCTTTTATCAGGCCAAGATTTCTATCAAGAATAAGCACGCGTTCTACGTTTGTTTACACAAAGCCAATAATAAAATTTAACGATCCCAACTACAACTTTAATTAACAGACAAACCGTCTTAGAATAATCATGAAAATTTTCTTTTGTTGTATAAATTGCGCATATGCAGTATAATATCATACTATTATGACACAAGCTATAAATTTTATTATTTCTCTCTTCAAAACGTATTGTAAATTCTTCAATAAAAACTCATTTTATTCCCCAATAAAAAAGTGAATGAATCTTAAAATAGTAATATCAATCAATAGCGTTTCTTTTCATTAACTCTTTAGTTTTTACTTTTATTCCGGTTTCAGACGTCGGCCTTGACAAATTGTAAATATAGGTATAGACACATCATTTTTTTACAATACTTTTTATTTCTTCTGAATATATTACTAAAATATTCAGAGGATTTCGTTTTTAAATATAGATTTGTATGGCGGGACTTTTCTGAGGCAAAAACATTGGTCAAGCGAAACAAAAAATTAATAATCCGTGAAATTCTGTCCCGAGGCATTAGTAACGCTCTGAGATTTTGACCAATTAATTTTTTATGCAAAAAATATAGCAAAACACACTTCCAACAGTAGTAAAAATTCATAATAGTGCATAGAAAAATATAAAATAATGAATTGCCTGAACAGAAAAGCTTAGTCCTAAGTCCAAAAATTGGTAAAACTAAATTTGGTAAACTTATCGTTTCATAAAGCACTTGGATAATATACTAATGTGGATTTATTATTCACAGCATAAATTATTATATTTCCCAGCAATATAATATTACAATTTCACATTTTGATATTTAAATCAATATTGAAACAAATACAGATTCGCATGAACAGATCACAAAAGGCAAACAATATCAAATAATAATTACTTGGGAAATGATCAAATAATAGTGTTGCTTTCTATTCTCATAATGTTATGGTTTATTGTCAAAACCTATTATATAGTCAATTTAAAGTAACAAATCACTTTGACCAAAATGCTTAAAAATGTCTTATTAATAACACATAAAACCATAAACAATATCCTATAATAATTATTTGGATCGTATCACTTTTGCTTTCCATTTTCACAATATAGTGATGTATTAATAAAAGCTATTGATAATTTCTCCATATAATTTATAATTCTCTTTAGTAGAAATCTATCAATTAATAATACAAAAAAATATAAGTTATTATTTATTAATAAAATAGGAAATAAGTGACAATGAGGAAGGAAGTGGTCTAGTGATGTGATGAGCTCTTTCAAGTCTTTTTGAAAAAATACAAAAATTACTTTAAATTTTGTTCAGAATATTGTGATCTCTTGATATAAGGATGCAATTATATTCATGAAAAATTAAATCAATTAAATATCATAAGTACTATATTGTCATCTATAGGTGATAATACACCATCACCTCTAAGTTGAACCAATGTTTCCTTGCCCACCTGTCAGATACTTTTGATAAACTACCAAACAACAGCAGATTAAATTAAAATCTTGTTATTTACAACAATAAACCATTTCACCAGCACCAGATTATTTTGAAGATATCTTCAAATCATGACTTAGGTGTCGCAATTTCACATTCCATTTCGTGTTCTGTCGAAATGTGATATCGCGACAAATAAGTGACTTCGTGCTTTGAGAGACATAAAGACTATTGTAGTGCAGTTTTTTAACAATAAAACTTCTGTAAAATCATGATCATTGTCTTTATTTCGATAATAAATGGTAGAAACGATCTTTATTGATGATGCAACTGCTTACTGTTATTGGAAATGGAGATGATGTTCGATTTTTCTCACAACGATATGGTTTTATTGAGCAATCGCGTAAAGGAAATGAAATAGATAGTCTAGGATGTTAGGAATATGTAAATCGAAGACTGTGATATTATATTATTTAATCAATAATACTAGAAACCGCAGGATCAGAGTTTTTTGCATACTTAAAATATGCACTTCGGTGAAGTGGAACCTTCAATCCATTTATTATTATTCTGTTTTGTTTTCGCAATATTGCAAATATGTCGTCGATATATGCAATTGTGGCCTTTACGACTTCATTTATTTTCCTGCAACTTTTCATATTAGTATGTAAATTATCCACTTAAACATGTATACTGTTTTCATTAGCATGAGCACAAATAACTTCACGGATTTTGAAGAAGCTGTCGCAGCTCATATTTATTGCAAAAGTAAGAGATATGAGTTATTTGTATTTTGCCTTGATATATTACCTAGACAAATACATTATGAATTGAAGTCGATATGGGAAAGTTAAATAGAAAAACTTTAATAGATAAAACATATTTATCAATTCAGCTCTATTATTAAATAATTATTTACACGCATATATCCCAGTGATTTTTAACATAACATTTCCAACGACCTTTAATTATTTTTGTCTTAAATGAGAAAATCAATAGTTTAATTTTAGTCTAGCAGGAGCTGAGATTACTTATTCCAAAATCTTACTTGGATAACGATGTATAATCTGAATATTGCTATTAACGTTTTGCATAGCTGTATGTAATTAAATAATATATAATCAGTATTAAAAAAAATACTAATAAAAGAAGAGTTCGAGCACAAAAGCTCATAAGACTATTCCGTTCTATGTCCTTAGTCTCTCTTATGTTACTGCAGCATAAGACCAAAAAGTTAATCCTACAACAAACTTATCCTAGAATGTATCTTTTTTTTATTATATTTTTAGCAGCAATCAGAACCTTACGTCCTATGAGCTATTGCACTGAAACTTCTTCTTACTTCGTATTTTTAAATGGTAACCTAATGGTTAATCCATCCACATTTGATGTTTTTGTTATTAGAATTAATCTAATAGGGTTGACTTTTTTTTATTGGTGCAGCAATGCCGGGCGAGGGCTATTTTCACTTGGAAACATATTGCTACCTATATATCCAAGTGAAAATCGTTGTCATTGCTGCCTGACAACAGGCTGCTCGAAGTGGGTATCGAACCCGGGACCTCTGATTTAGGTCCCGTCGCTCTTAACCGCTTACCTACGGGCGAGCCCAGAATGTATCTAATGTTATAATTGTTGCTCGTGATAGTTTTCTCGTTTCTAGAATTGTTTGTCACTGAGATAGAGGGCGATGCATTATTATGAATGCAATATTGCGGAATGCAGTCCCGATCGTTGCACCGGCTAAACGGTCGCCCGGCCAGGCCATTTATCGTTGCGCAATGTATGTCTCGGTGACCGGCAGTTCGATACGGTAGATATCGCTATAAATCACTGTTTATTTAACTTTATCCTTTCGTCACAATGAAAAGCATTCAGTAGTTAATTAATAAATAAAATCCTATGCCCGTCTCTAAAGTGTTTCCTCGTCAGGCACTTGTTTTTCCCTGCTTTCCTAAAATTATCGTTTGCAAACATTTTTTTTTTAAATATTTACTGTTATAAATTACAATCTGTCGTTCGAAACAACATTCAGTATTTTGATGGTTAATTATATTAGGAAAAAAGGCGAAAGGGCTCCCAATGGGATTCCGTTTCAATGTTGATTATATATAACTTGTAGTAATGATAGTGGTAGTAATTCAAAAAATTTAAATAAAACCTACGGTAGTAATTGTAGTATCATAAATTAGTAAACAGTGCAAAAAAAATTATAAAACCTGTGTTTTTGTATTAGATTTTACTGGATGTCAAATCCGGCTCGAAGGACCAATGGTTTTTTCAATGGTTTGATTGATTTTTTGAAGGACCATAGATTATTTGTAAAACACTTTATTTGTAATTTTATGTGTTTATTTTAAACTAATTACAAGTTATAATTGTATTTACAATAATTTCAATGTTTTTAAATATCGTAATAATTGGCTTTTTTAGGATGATTTTGGATTGATAATTTTTTGGTTGTATCAATATATCGGCATGCTTTGACTTGGCATGAACAACCTGTCTCCATCTACGGACTGCAACTGTGGGGCTAAGCCAAAAATATGAATATTCATATCAAACAATGTCATCAGACTGAGATTTTGATGCAAAGAACGTCAACTCCATTCAATCCAATTGGATTATAATCAGAAAACTTCTTTCAAAATTACATAGAAACTAAAAGTAACCGTAGAATTATAGAATAAGCTCCTGGATTTAAATGTACAGTTATTAAGTTAGATAACAATTAGATTTAGGTTTATCTTCTTGACATTTTTTGTGTACATAAACCTATGTATAAAGCTTGAAATGCTTACCAATAGTATATAGTTTACCGTGGAGGGTAGGTTTTTAAAAGCATTATAATTAATCCAATGACTAAAAGTCTAATATAAGAGATCTTTTAAATAATACAATAAAGGAAATATAAACAGAGTAATTTACTGAACAAAGCAAATAATTTATACAAGGAACTGAAAATTAGTCGCCTAAACTTGCAATAACTTTATAAGTATAAAAATTAAGCACAAAGCGGTCATAATGAAAAAATAAAATTTAAGTAGAATTTTGCTAAATTATTGCATCGTACTTAAATTTTATTTATGGTTTAAAAAATACGCCATAGAATTTCACAAGTCTTAATAAAATATGGTTCTAATTCACATTTTTTCAATTTTAGCTTGTAATATATGTTTAGGTTTACATGATTATTATAAGTAGTGTAAATTGTAAAACTTATCATTTTCTTTTGTATAATATCAACTCGATGGTGGTTATCGAAGTCGAATCGAAATTTAGAAGATGCTCTATGAATATATAGAAATATTAAATAAGTAATTTAAATTCAAAATGCACATTCAACACTTCCGTGATTGAACAATAAATAGACAGCTGGGTGGTCTCAAGAGACTTCCGAATATTAACACCGAATCATCTTATATAATTTTT